GGCATTTACTTTTGGTATTTTAAAGCACTAGAAGAATTCCAAAGCAAAAAGGCAAACCAATTCCCAGACTTTTTTGAGAGTCAATGAGATTGAGGCACATGCCATTTGTGCCCTTGACAGATTTTCGTTTGATGTTTCGGTGTAAACCAGTGTACCATAGACATTTTACAGCTGGCAACAGCTCTGATTCACATATAAGGGTGAATTAAGCTCTGATAAATGGAGAAGAGCTCTCCTTCCACAATTCTCTCTGTGTCAACTGCTTCTCCCTTGGGAATGGATAGCAGGTTTCTCTCCTCCCTTACCAATTTCAACCCTGAAAATTAGTGCAAAGTGACATGAATTTTACTTCATACTAGTACAATGGGTTGAAAGCTGCAGGTGCTTGGAGACACCTACGCAGGCTGTGTGCTTGCGGAGCAGTAACCACCAGGTGCAGAAAAGCTTCAGCTTAACCCACTGCTACAAGAAAGCAAACATCCTCATTTTGGTAAAATAGCGTCTGCTGTGCATGGTATCACCTGCCTCGGGTTTTGGGTTTGGGATACATCTTGATAGACCTGAGCAGACAGGCTTTTGCTGAAAAAGGGTGGAGAGGAGAAAATACCTCCCTAAAATCTGCTTTGAGGATCAGTTCTAGGACTGAACCATCCTCTGCGTGAGGGACTGTTCTGTCGCTGGCAAGTTGCTCCTCCTTCCCTAAATATCTGCACTCAGGAGCCCCTGTTTCCATCAATCCTTTATAACACTCTTGAGATGGCTGTATTAATATCTGAGCCCATCGGTGCTGGGTGCTCACAGCATCCACAGAGCTGCAATCCATGATCCTGTCATTCACCACCGCAATCAGTTGCCAAAATGCAACAATAGCCTTGAGAATATGACTAAGAACAGCCATATTACACTGGGGAAATTATGAATATTTATATGGCTCTAGGAAATGAGTCCCCTTGATGATAATTTACAAATGCCTGACTCCATTTAACTCTAGCACAGGCATTTCTGCTTTACCTAGCAATGAGCAGGCAATCAGATCTGTTAAAGTCCATTAGAGTTTCTTGGATCAGATCCTTCTTCATGTCAGGAAACAACTTCTCTTTTTCACTCATTCAGGTGCCAATAACTTACCATGATATTACTCCAGGTGTAATTATCATCATCTAGGCACCAGTGCTCATAAAGAGCCCTCAAACTTCAGGGCACATTACGAAGACTCTGATTCAACCTCTTATAATCCTATTTTTAGCACGTTACTCATGATATTTGCATATAAATCAATGGGATAAATTACATGTTACACCAGATTGGGCTTGCAGAATCTAGAGGTGTTGATGCCCTTTTCCTGTAACCAGTACAGACTAGGCAATTCAGAAAGCTGCCAATAATGCAGTATTTAGAAACCAACTTTATCATGGAAAGTAAGACTTTAGAGCTGAGAGTCGTGACTCAGGATTCCACACCTAAGATGATGTAAATGCTATGACCTAATAAAAAAAAAGGCCTTAGAAGAGGGACAAGTTCATAAGATGCTTAGAGGGCTGGAGCATCTCTTCTGTGTTCAGCTTTGTGAAGGCTCCAGGGAGAATTTATTGCTCCTTCCAGCACCTAGAGGGGCTCCAAGAGAGCTGGAGAGGGACTTTTGACAAGGGCATGGAGTCTTAGGACATGGCAAAATGGTTTTGAACTGACAGATGGAAGACTCAAATTAGATACTAGGAAGACTTTCTTTTATGTGAGGGTGGTGAGGCACTGGTATAGGTTGTCCAATTAAACTGTGGATGTCTATCCCTGGAATTGTTCAAGGCTTTGGCAACTTGGTCTTTTAGAAGGTGTCCTTGCCTATGGTGGAGGTGGGGGGGTTGGAACTAGAGGATACTTAAGATCCCTTCCAGCCTAAACCATTCTGGGATAATGATCTGTAAAATTTGAGCAGGCAGTATGTAGGGCAAAATTCAGTTTTATTTTTGTGACTGATATCTTTATTTTAACATCATGAGAACCAGGCAGTGAAAACATCTTCAAGATTTTATATCAATTTTATTTTCCCCTTTGCACACATACACTGATGAGAGGGAATAAGTACAGTCTTCCCTGACATATGTCTCCATAATGAGTTCTAAACAATCTGCTTATTAGGTCTCATTTTATGCAGAAGTAAAACAACCAGCAGCACAAGCCATGGTAAAGCATTTGCACAGAGCAGAGAGAGATAAAGAGTTCCTCAGGCGTCATTCCCTGAGTTTACCTGATCACAAGGAGCTGAACACGTGCTATTCTTGAGCAGCAGTCCTTTCCCATTGGCAAGCAAAATACTATTGCATCCTAAAGTGACAGGACGTATCCCCCTAGTGGTGTAAACTGACATGATTCAATTACCCACTGATCAGCTAAGACATAAGGTTTCAGGGCAACATTAAACTGTATGGAAAGAGGATCCTTTGCCACAGGCAACCTGAGGCCACAGGAAACTACTTCATCGGCATATCAAGCACATTGTTAGTAATACTGGAAAAAAAGCATTTCAGTAGCTCTGTTTGGTTCTTGCTATTTCAGAAACAAGACATTCCCTCCATAGGTTGTACAGATCAGACAAAGGAAACCCAGTGCCTGGACAGGGGTAGGTTTGGTCCTTTAATCAGACAGACCACATTTAGATGCAAAGAACTTCAGGCTGTCACATTATATCCAGTGCAGTAATGGACAGAACAAGGCATAGCTCAAGGTTACAGAGGAAAAGTTCTGATTTTAATACGTATTCTTGTAAAAGCTGAAGTAGTCAAAGTTGTTTTGTGGAAGTCAAGTTTACCTTCACAAAATATTTTCAGGGAAAAAAAAAAGCATCTATTATAATAGTTTGGGGCTGCCTCTTCAATACTATCCTTCTGAGTGCAGTGACTGAAAGTTTTGTCAGAGTTCAAAAGCAGAGAACCAAGCCACAGAACAAGTCAGAAGTAAATGAATTTTGCGATGGAGAATACTCCAGAAAAGTGCCAAATAAATAAAAATTCCCTAGTGATTGAAATCAAGACATAGCTATGAATTTTCCTTGTGTTTCTGAGGAAATCAGAATGGATGACAACCCACATTATTGATAGCTACCACATAAACCCCTTCATTAATTTATCTTGCCCAGTTTTAAAGCTAGTTTCATGTCTGACTTCTTTTTCTAGCATGGTGGCAAATCTTCTCATGGCCAGCATGCGTGTGATGAGAAAAGAAACAAACACCAAAATTTTTAATTATTTATTTAAAGCCAACTGTAATTCAGTGTTATAAAAATTGCCTACAATTTTTCCACATTTTTTCCATTATTGCTCCTGGTGAGTAAATATTTATTTTTAATATTTAACTATTAGTTAATATTTAAAATATTTCATAAATCTCTCCTTAGTTTCTGAGTAACTGCAATTTCAAATTTTTAATTGTTTTTCTGTCAAGAACTTTTAACTGAACCTTCAAAAGTCTGAAAAGCTAAAGTGCATCAAGCAGGTCAGAATCTTCCTCATTGTTTACAGCCAGTTTTATGCATCTTGATCAGTCTGGTACTCTTCCAGACCCCAGTCTTGAAAGTCTAAATCTGTGGAAGTAACATAGGTCTGAAAAATATAGGAAGAACAGGTCTGCATATAAAAATCCACAGGGAATTTGACAATTTAGGTGTATTGTCATTGCCATCACTAAAATAAATTTTATTTTAGTGCTTTATAGCATGATGAAAAGCAGTGATATATGTTAACTACATCTCTTGATGCTAGAAGCAATTATACACAAACTGAACTTCAGAAGGCAAGATGGTCTCCAAGATAGAGTACACATTCTGCCATGCATTTACAGTAGGAAAGGTCTGTGTTTAGATTGTCATTTCTTAGCCTACAGAAGGAAAGGTGAGAAGAAATAAGATGTGGAAAAAGAAGTCTGTGTGTTTACACACAGGTATAATAAATTCTGCTGGCCAGCAGGGTGTAAACACTGTTTACAGCCCCCAAGGTTGCCCGAAGCTTCTCCTCAAGTCTTTGGATCGCCTTCTGACACAGCATTATCACACACAGCATTATCAGACCTTTACTGGTACACTTTATTCTTTTCCCTTATGTCTCAAGTCTTTCCATTTTTAGATTGTACTTGCCTCTGGACACCAACTCTGCTTGAGAAGCAGTTTGCATATTATGGGTGTAAGTATAGTACGCGTAGTAAGCACTGAGGAAACTAAATAAGGCATCAGAGGAGAGGAAAACCCGCATTTAGTAGGCAGTGCTATAAAAATACTCCTTCCTTCTCCCAGCCCACGAGTATGAGGAACACTTGCCTCTTCATTGCTTTCAGGAAGAAATTCTTCAATGTGAAAGTGGTGAGACACTGGCACAGGTGGCCTGGCGGATCTTTGGGTGCCCCATCCCTGGCAGTGTTCAAGGCCAGGTTGGATGGGGCTTTGAGCAGCCTGGTCTAGTGGAAGGTGACCCTGCCCATGGCAGGGGATTGGAACTGGATGGTCCTTAAGATCCCCTCCAACCCAAATCATTCTAGGATGCTGTGAAGCTGTATCTCAACATCATGAAGGCAGCTCGCTGCCCCACTCGCCTTACAAACCCTCCACGAAATCTATAAGGAAAACCGGAGTGGAAAGCTGAGAGAGGAAACCTCTTCACTGCCCCCGGCTTGAAAAGTGGGTGAGGAGAGCGCCGTGATGCTGCACGTCCCGCCTCATCCTCACAGGGGCATCGCGCGGGTTCCCTGAGAGCCAAACACGCCCCACACCGGTGTTTCCCCACAGACTCTGCCCACATCCACGCTCTCCACCACAATGTGTTTCTCCGCCCCGGTTTGCTCCGTCCGACAGGCCGCAGCCCGTCCCCATGGTGACCGCGGCTCCGCCCCGCGGGCGGGCCCAGCGCCGGCCCCGCCCGCTCTCCCGCCGCCGCCGCCGCGCTCCGGGCCCGGCGCCCTTCTCCCTCCGCTGCCCCCGTGCCCTGGCTCCGCTCTAGCCTGGAGCGGGCGCCGCGATGGCTCCGGCCGCTGACCGGGAGGGTTACTGGGGTCCGCCGACCTCCACCCTGGAGTGGTGCGAGGAGAACTACGCCGTCTCCTACTATATCGCCGAGTTCTGTGAGTGGCCGCTCCGGCCCCGGGTCCTGCCCCGGCCCCGGGGGCCCCGTCCCACCGCCGCCTCCTTCTCCCTCTCCGCAGCTCTTCGTGCTCTCTCCCCGCGGCGGGGGAATCCCTCCTCCTCCTTGGCCCCTCTTTTCTGCGGGGTGACGGTGCCGCTGCCCCTCAGCCAACCCCGGTGGGTGGAGATGGGTGTTTTTTACCGCCTTCCCCCACAAATCCGTGTCGGAAGCACGGGCTGGTGTAGCTCCTCTCTCCCCAGCGTGTCGTTTGGGCCCCCATCCCAAGCGAGTCCTTTCGGCCTGTGTCCGTAGGGATGGCAGGGCTGGAGCGGGGGTGCCGGGGGCCTGCGGCGGTGGCTGGGATGGGGTGGCCCGTGAGCGGTGTCCTGGGGGTGTCACGGGAGCTGGGCTGGCTGCGTGGCACCGCAGGCACGGGTGAAGAGAGGGAGGGACTCTCGCTGGAGTCGTGCTTGGCGTGTCACGCCGTGAAGCCACACGGGTCTGCTGCTCTGCTCCCCTTGAGGTGGAACCGTCTGCACAGCCTGGACTGTCAAACCAAGTGAAACTGCTCAGGGAGAGAAAAGGTATCTTCCTATGCAAGATACGGCTTCATCCAGGGATGACACCTTCCCCCAGCTGGTCTTTGGTGCCTCCTGATGACCATCGTCAATCAGGTGGCTCTGCTCCCAGGTGGTGGGAGTTAAGCGAGGCTTGAAAGGTCGCTCTGTTTCAAGTGATTATCTTTTAGGATAGCTCAGAGCACTGGGAAGAGAGCAGGCCATTGGTTTGACCTCGAAACTCTGTTATTCAGAAACACTCAGGATTTAGCATGTTTTAGGGAAAAAAAGAAGGGGCTTCAACTACCGGGTCATCCATCAGGTGCTTGAGAAAGGAGTGTCTTGCAGGTGATAAAAGATCAAGCCCTATGTCACTGAGGTTTTGTTGAACAAGTAAGTATTTTTGTGTCCTGGGCAGAGACTTTAAAGGGTGTAGTAGTTATAATTATGTGCGTCTGCCTGGCATACGCCCTGTACTGCGAAAAACTTTCACACGCATAAGGTAGGTAGCTGCCTTTGAAGTGTTAGGGCCCTGGGTGCTCAAGTGACCAGGCTCACCTACCCTGAAGTGCTTGAAGTGGGCAATCTGCAGAGGCCTTTCACATAGCTGGGATGCTTCAGCAGTGGTTTGGAAGAGCTTGGCATGCAGAAGATGGAAGGTTCTGGGTTTCCATGCCCAGCTGTGACTCCTGGTTGCAAGCACTGACATGGGTGAGGATCCAAAATGAATAATTGTGAAAGAGTGTTCAGAGTGTAGGAATAGGAAGAACAGGATCTGAAATGAACAACAGTAGCATAAGCAGCTTAGAAGCTCAGAGGAAAAAGGAAGTTAGTGTGTAGATTTATGGCTGAGGCAGGCTGGCTGAAAAGGAAACAAAATTAAATACTCTTAAAAAGGGACAAACTTAGAAGTCTAAATAGAATTAGACTTTTGCAGAGTATGTATATATGTGTTTTCCTTTTTGTCAAGCATAATTTGTGAGATAATTCTCATAGGGAAGAGGAAGTTCTGTTTCTTCACTAATGTAAAAATGAATTTGACTAGCATGTAAATTTTTAAAATAATTCATGCATTGTTGACCTTGTTAACTGATACTTTTTGTCTCCTTTTGGATTATTCAGGAGAAGGAAGATGAGGATGAGTAATGGGAGGCAGAAAGGCTTGTGTTCTGAAGAAAAAGAGAGTAGCTATACTAGGGCTGGTCCCTCCTTACGGTTTTGGTGTTTGGGATGACAGTTTGTTGGTCTGTCAGTTGCACTGAAAAAAACTGTATATAAGGGGTATGCTGTAATGTAAAGCATTTAAATGATCTAAGTTTAAAATGCAAAACAGTAAGTAAGCCTGCTGTGGTGTAGGGTTAGCTTAACAGCAGCTAATTTCAGTCCAGATGCCAAGATGGGTTAGATTTTCTTCAGCAGTAGTTCTCTAACAGTGCTTTGAGGGTCTGAGGCAATAAGTGTTCTGGGGATATTATTTGAAGTTTTACCTTACAGAAGAGTGAAAATCCATTTCTGACTTGGTACCACTCAGGTACAGCTTGTTGTAAAAATTTTTGCATTAATATTTGTTATAAGTTGTTTGTTAATGGTGGTTAATAATTTATAAGAAACTTCGGAGGCCCAAAGATTGAAGAATACTGGCAGGTCCAAACCAAATAGATTGCAGGCTAAAGAACCAAACAGAAAGCTTGTACAAATTACATTTTTGTGCCATTTAGCAATTTGGTTTTGACATGCTACTTTTAGTACAGAATTGCTACATTGTGTTCCAAAAGCCCACATGCAGTTCCTTGCTCTTTACTCCTTATAGAACTAGTGTAAATGGTAGCAGCTTATCAATTGTATGTAGTGAGAGATGTGGCAGTGAGGAAAGGTGATGGTGTAGCACTTCATACTTGAATTCCCTTGATGTATCCCAAATATGGTGGCATGTATTCAAAAGTTCATTTTTTTAATAATGAGAAATGCTTTTTCTTGCCTTTCTGAGTCTGCACCTAGTCAGTTTTTCTCCCCTGTGGAGGTGGATGACTAACTGCTCTACATCCATCTGTAGAATATTAAACCCATTGAAATGGAAAACCAGTTAAAAAGAATTGTTTTGCAAGCTTAAGTCTGTTAAGCCTTAAAATGAGTCTTATATCCCCCACTGATCGAACCTATTGTATGGTGTAGTAATTCCTTTTTCAGGGTTTCTCATTGATTGCCTCCTGTGTGCTGGAGAGCAAGTAGTAGATGTGGGGTTTTTTTCCCTTCTTTAAACCTTTCAAGGTCTCAGTTCTTAAAAGCTGAATTATCCAAACTTTTGTACACTTGCTTACGAAAAAATAGTAAAGGATAAACCCACCATCCTCCCACACAAGCAAATAGAAAAAGGGCAAATATAAGTTCTGGGTTTTAGCACTTATCACTCAAATGCTACAGCTTACTCCTTATTTTAGCAGGGTTGATGTTTCAGACCAGTTTAGCCCACGTAGCATTGAGTTTTGGAGGTCTGTTTTGACATGAATGTCTATCACAGGAGCCTTACCATTCTTGGATTCAGTCATCCCTGTAAGAAGAGCTTCTCTTATAGAATATGCTGAGTGAATATAACTAATCTTCACATACTCCCTTTGCTGAAAGCATGTAGAGTAGTACCAATTCAAGCAAATATTTTAGATTCAAAGGAGCCCTGTGTGGTACATGAGGGCTTATAATTCTCAGTCAGGAGAATCATGGGGGCGAATTTGTTGTAGTTAACAACAGAATGCTGTGTTCCAGTTTGGATCAAACTTGAGTCATGTTTCCAGTTATGTTGCTTTGAGCTATCATTGTCCATGAGTAATATGCATCATCTACAACATGACAGGTTTAGAGATATCCTTATGCTGTCATTTACAGCAGCAAGCATCTAGAACATTGCTTCAGGCTTCTCAAGGAATTAGTGAAATTGTTTCTTTCTTGGCTTCTGGTCTTGTCCAAGTATGTTCTGATATCTTTGTATAAGAATTTTTTTATTATTATCGTTACCAGAGTTAAATCCATTCATTTTTGTTTTCATTGGAGATCTGGTAAGTGACTTCTTGTAACTGGGATTTCCTTATGGGACTCTTATTTAGGAAAAAAACACACCCATGTCATGAGAATCTGCCCATGTTTCTAGCTATTTTTGTTCCGCTTCCTTCAAGCTTCTGATTTTTGCCTCAGACAAGAGATTGAGACAAGATTATGGTGACTTGTGTTCTTAAGTGTGAGATATCTCTTGATCTCACATCTTGGATGGCATAGAGTGCTGTCCCAGCATTCTCGACATTGTGTTTCCTTTTAGGCGTTGCTCAGAGAATACAGCTGCCAAAGATGCACAGATCTCTATTTTCTATGGGGCTCATTATTTTAAAACATAAAAACTTGCAAAATTTACTTAAAGTCATTAATGTTGAATTTGTACTGCCATGTATGGATTGTCACTTGTTCCTCGTGGGTGTCCTGTCGCATTTTGCCTTTTTTGCCAGAGGCTTTGGAAAGCAGCCAGAGACTGTTGGGCTAGGTACTCTCCAAGTGAGAGTTAGAAAACTAAAATAAAGCCAACTGTCTGCCTTCAAGAACTCTTCCTGTTCTTTCAGTGATAAAGTGGCAGATGAAGGAAACATCATCAAGTTTAATTGGGTGTGATGAGCCCAACTGGCTGGCTGAGATGGAGTGATTTAAAGATGACATGACACAGATGAGTTCTAAAGAGTGCTTTAACAGAAGACAGTGTCACAGACCTATAGACTTTAAGACTGAAAGGGATTTGAGTGTATAAATTTAATGATCTCATTGGAGGAAACCACATCACAACTTTCCTCTGGAAATTTATTTGGCTTCTTGAGGGAGCTCCCTGAACTGAGGAGGCACTGCAAGCAAAAAGGTAAAGGAAGCATTAAAATAATTGATGGTGAGTGTAAAGTCAAGTGGAGTGTGCAGAACAGTGCTCAACTGTGCAGTGTGTTTTGGGATAACACTTCTAGCTTGCTTTTTGTGCTGCAGACAAAAAGAAGTTGAAAGATTATTTATTTTTTTCTCCAAAAAATAAAATAGCAGAACCAAAATCATAAGCCAGATGGTCTCTGCTGTCACTTCTTTATTTCTTTCTATTTGGTTTTGAATCAGTAGCAAATACTGTTGTATTAATTTATTTCCTTTCCTAGGCTGTAAAAGTACATTCTTGGCTTAAGCCTAAAGATAGTCTTGTCACACAGCTTTGATGCATTTTGACATCACTAATGATTTATATGTTATTTTTAATTCTTCCTTCCTTTTTATCTTTCATCATGATGCAACTCTACCTTTGATCTCATGACAGCTTAATTTTCAGTTTTCCCACCAGTCTTTGTTGAAAGATGGGGTCAAAGGCTCTTGGAAAGCTGATTTCCCCAGTCATCAGTTCTTATTTATCCATCATGTTATGGATACGCTTAAA